ATGTTACCGCGTTGGTGTAACATAGGCGCTTTGTTGTTGTTTCTGACGAACGTGACCGACACTTACTGACAAGCTACCGCGCGATTCAAGCTTTACGTACATTTTCGTTTTCGTTGTTTTAAACACGACCAATTTATGAATTACTAACGTTTTCACAATATGCGTTGCTGGTGTGATGATTAAGTAAATTTTGAACCGCTGTTTTCGACCTTTCAAACCGATCATCGGTTAACATCGTTTCTGAGGACTTATGACTCATATATATACTTCAAACATACAGTTCATATTGATAATATGTAAACGAACTTTTAAGTCTATGACACGGGATGGGACACATGTGTATATTGATCGATTTCACTGGACGAAAACTGACGGAACGGATGAAAGTTAAAGGTAAATTTTCCATCTTATGGTTAATAGTGTTGTTTATAAGAGCCGCATCAAAGGCGCCTAGGAGCAACAAGTAAGGAAGCGACTCGAAAAAAAAATCAGCCGGTATTTCCTGAATATCGCATTGCCTCAGATGCTAGACAACTTGCAGCGCAGGTTATTAAGACTGAGTTTGTCTCCGCTTACATGGAATTTTCATGTTTCATGCTGCAATAACTGCATGGCAAAAAAACACAAAAATATCAGTTTTGGCCGATTAGATGTCTCTGCCATACGCTTCATGACTTGGGGGTAGGGGGCTATTTTTAAAGCCGTTCCAATTAGTGCGACGCTGATTTCCATTTCACTGGCATCAGTAAAGAGAGGCCTTATTTTATAAATGCAAAATCTGCAAATCCTATCGAGTAATGTAAAGCTCCTGTTCATAAAGTGCTACTCGTTTGTGCATCTCGGACGAAAGAAAAACCAGTGATCAGACGATGGGGGGGGCAGAACCCGGGACCGGGACCTCCGGCTGACATGCTGATTGACATATTTTCGATCTGTAAAGAAGTGGAACGTCATCATAATCCTTCCTCGGCATTCTCGGGAAGAGCAACTCGCACCGAGGAAAGTAATTAAGAGAGTGCAAGGACCAAGCGAAATGCTAGCTGATGAGTTAATGAGCCAATACTCGTTATCCGCTATGATATTTGTTAAAATTGGCCGTGACCCTTAAAGATCGATACGAAGCAGCGCAACTTTAGGACGATAGAATCTGTTCAATCAGATGATGCGTTTGTGTTCAATATTCAGATTTTGCACCGTGAACTGCATTATGGATGGACACTGTTTTTCAGTATTAAAGCAGAAGAAGCAATATATGACGAAACCACGGAAAGAACGTATATCACAATTGCGATTGGCAGAAAGGAGAACAATCCGTTTGAACTGATTAAACAGTACAATGAGTCAGTAGCTCGGTTTCGATGATGGTTAATCATGTCTTCAAGCGAGGGCAGGTGCGCCTGACACGGTCTATGACGATTCAGCGCGAGACGCTTCGGCGCCGATCGACAGTCGTTGTCAAGGTGCAGTCCTGTGGCGTGCGTTTGGTTCTATACGATTGGACCGTGGTCATCTCCATCAATGATAACGTCCACCCTAGCAAGACATATATTTATGAGAAGCTGTCCATGAGCACAATGTGAAACTTCTGTCAAACGAATGAATTTCAGAGGTTCTAAGATTTCGTTCATCATCGAAAGTTTATTCTTTATGTATTAATGTCTCCCAAAAGAACAAAAAAAAACAACTCAAAACGTCTGTCAAATTATTTCATTAAATTTAAATTTGCTTAAAGTTTAAAGTCGAATTTTCATGGAAGAACGACCAGCTGATGTGTAAAATAATTTTGTTTATATAGCATAATTTATATTAAGTATAGAACATCATTGCGCCCTATTTCGTAATTGTTCGCTATCCCACGAAATTATTAAGATTATCTCAATTATGATAATCAGTCACGATTGATTGTATTCTTTCGTCCGTATCACGATATTTCTTTAACTTCACTGGTGGTGGATGACCGGCAGCAAGTTGGTCCTGGTATATTTCGAGACCCTTCTGAACTTTACGAAGCCCATCAATTAGCTTCCATACCGATGGATGTGACATTCCAACTCGGAGCTCATGGGAAGTTTCTCATGGATATGTAACACTGCTGCTTCGACATTACAATTGATCAATACCTACTATGTTATATAAGCAAAGTTGCTTTGTACATCAGCTCGTTTTTTTCTATGAAAGGTTAACTTTAAAGTTTAAATAAATTTAAATTTTGTGAAATAGTTTGGCAAACGCTTTGTAATATTGTTTTTATGTTGTTTTTTGAGTTATTAATATATAATTAATGAACTTGTGATGATGAACGAAATTTTAGAACCTTCGGAGTTCATTAGTTTGACAGCAATTTCACGGAGAGCTTCTCATAGATGTATCACTTGCTAGGTTGTATTTTACAGCTGATGGAGATGACCGCGATCCATTCATACAGAATCAAATGCACGCCACAGGACTGCACGTTGACAACGACTATCTATCGGCGCCGAAACGGCCCATTCCTCATGCAGTACACAGTGGTTCACGTGTCATTCGACTAACCGTGCACTTTAAAGCCAACAATGAGTTGCTAATCCTTCTTCCAAGTTAACGAAGATCACCACTGTCAAATCTCGATGCCTTTGTTCATCTGTCTTCTGCGATGTGTATTCAAAAGCAAGCTCATGCATCTCTTTCACCTGAGCCAGGGTCATCTAATTGTAGTACCTTGAATGCTAGCCTATCAATGCCGAATTCCATCTGTCATCCGTCAGTGGTGCCGTCGAAGCAGTCTGACTCGAGCCGAACGAAGGGGCTGTGGCGCATTTCTGCTCATGCGCTCGATTCAGTTCGATCTAGGCTACCGCTTATGGATACGTCTTGGATAAAATACCCGTTTGTTAGGTCCGTTGGCCAAATAGGATTACAGGTGACCGACATCCCTATGAGGTCTGGATCCCTAAAACTTTTCTTCGGTGAACTCGGCACAGTCACCTCTTCTTTAGCGGTTTCCTCTCTGTACCACGGTGCGGTGTCTCATTTCGCGAGGTAGTACTTAAACACCGACTGCATACTCATTTGCGAATTCAGTTGCTGAGAAACTTTCCTGAACGAGTGCTGGAAAAGCGTCGTCGTCGTGATTCATTGAGTAGAATCAGTAGTAAAATGTTAAACGTTTTAATTTCGTTGAAACTAATATAAGCGCATAATTTTCAACCATAATAATACTAAGTAAATTTTCTATCTGGCAATAAACATGAATTTGCTTGGTTGACGAGAAGAACCTCGGATTTCACGAGTACAACTATTAAACGCAATTTCTATCTTCCGAAATCTGTGCCTCCAAGTTCACTCGACCGAAATCGAACGGTTGCGGCTTCCTTGACGAACTTTTGCCGATGTATTGCTTCGGAATCGTAATCTTCCATCTACGTTGACATGGCTGAAAATAAGGGTCAGACATCGTTGTGAAGCCTACCCTCTCGGTACTTACGGTCAGACCATCGTCACAGTCGTGGTAAATTTTCAGCACCGGGTCAATTTTCAGAGCCTCGTCGGCTGATCCGTCTAATTCAAACGCGCCGTCCTTGTCGGTTTTGCCTTTGTCCATCACGTCGTCAGATATTAGATCTGTTAAACAACATGGTTTGAGGACATACTGCACTTGATCGTTGAACCTTTCATTACAACTCTGACAAGCGGCATGTTAAAACGTGCTCTAAGCAGAATCACGAATAAGAACCGTCTTGTTCTTAGTTTATGGTAATGGATCGTGGTAATGAAGAGGTCACTGCTCGATTCTAAACAGTTTGCGTAAGATTTATTTCATATCGAATGAATTAATGAATAGGAGCCACGGGAAATCGCCAGCTCTGATTTGAGAGCAATTATTTAAATTAATATGAAAATTCGTACTATTATTTTATTCCTCATAATGGCTACCCATTGCCTAACCTGACAGCGTTGTGTTGTATCTCTGTAAATTGGCGATTGGCTGAGGCAACGTTATAGGCTGATTCTAGGATT